GTCCTGCTGCAGCTGTGGTGGACGGGGACAGCTTTGAGGAGGTCTATCACAAAGTAAAGACAGTGATCGAGGAGCAATCAGGGCCTTACATCTGGATTCCCACTCGGGAGAGGCTGTGATTTCCCACATCCTCCCAATTCATAAACCGCACTTGTTTATCCGTACCAGGGTTTCTAACAGTCCTCCTCCCCCTCCTCCTCCTCCTCCTCCTCCTCGCCGCCCTCACAGCCACCCACCGACGCCACCTTCCACCCTCACAGCCAAGCCAGCCTGGCCTGTCTGCCTGCCTGCCTGTCTGTCTGTCTGTCCGTGCTCAGAGACAGAAACCCATACGTCGACAAACAAACACAACAGAGACGACGGCAGGACGCGATTCAGCGAGGACACGACTGAAAACCAAAAAAAAAAAAAAAAAAAAAAAAGAGAGAGACTCTGAGACAGACGTGAAGGCAGTCCTGTGTATTTGGACTGAGAGAACGGACCTGAGCCGCAGTACTCCACTCACACACCAGGGGGAGCCGAGGGTCCGACTCCTGATTTTTTGCATTTAGCGATGAAATGCATCTTAGCCATAAACGGGCGGCGACTGCACCTGAAAACAGGGAATGCAAGTGTCCTCGATATAGTTGATTTATTTATACTCACGTTTACTTTCTACGTCTGTCTGGAGTTGAATTCAGCCACTTTTTTTCCCGCTCGGAATAATCACAGGCGAAGCGGAGACGGAACTTTGTGAAGCATCTCGACGGCAGCAGCGAACAATAATCGGGATGGAAACGTTCAGAGCAGGAACGGTTGGAGTCACGACGCCTGAAGGTGGAGTGAAAAACAGAGCGTCATCGGCGTCACCTGAGACCTGAGACACAACGCCCTGTCATCGGCGTCACCTGAGACCTGAGACGCAACGCCCTAAAAAAAAAAAACGGATTTTTGCGTAAAAAAAATCAAACAACTAAAATCTTTATCAACTCGGAACCAAAAGTTGTTTAATTCAGGCGAACAATCGCAGACGAGTCGTCAGATTTTGTTCTTTTCAAGTCCCTCAAGGCTGTGGTTCCCATTTTTTTTTTCTGCACTGCCCCCTGTTGTTGACAGGACTTATTGTCACGTCTCCACATTTTTACAGCTACTGTTCAAAAACTGAACTCTGTAAGAAATAAAATTACAAATCAGTTCAATTTCCCTACTGTGGCACGATAAAAAAAAAAAAATTCCAAACCCCTAGGGGGCGCCTACACCCCAATATGAGAACCACTGCCCTGAGGGAAATTACTCTCTGCATTAAACACTGCAGTAAATAAAACTGGACGCCACGCCCACAGTCAGGGCGGTGTGTCCGGGGCCTCAGAGGTCAGAGGTCACTCCGAGCCCGAACGCTGTATTTTTTTTTTTCACTCCACTTCCGACTTTTTCCTCCGTCCTTTTCTTAACTTCCTGCTCTGTCTTGTTTCCATGCTGGGAACTGGGAAGCTAAAAGTCCGGGGCGGGGTCTGATGTTTGTGTATATTTTCTAAATTCTGGGCGTAGCCTCAGACGTGCACAGACTGACAGGGGGCGCTGTCACAGTGATGTTGAACCAATATAATGATTTAAAAGTCATACGCTGAATTTTGCATGCGTCCTTCGGGACAACGGAGAGACACGAGCCAAAAAGTTGACGAGGGAAAAATAATGAGAAAAATGTAAGTGAAGACGTGCGACAATCGCAGCAGGTTCCGACGTGTTCTTCTTGTTGCGGAGGATATTTTTTTTTTTTTTTTTTTAGAATTTTTTTAGCATGTCTCCAGAAAGTACCGGAGAAGAGAGAGGAGGTCACGTGACGCGGTGGTGATGAGAGGCCAGCTGTGAGCACAGGGGGGCGCTGCTCTCTTATTGTACACACACACACACACATACGCGGTGTTGTAACCTCAGCTGTAAGCTAGCACACACACTCCTCTACAGGGGGACGGCTGTTCTGACCCGCGCGTCAGAATCCAGGATGAATGTTGTCTCTAGAACCTTCTAGAACCTTCACAGAAACAGCCGACTCGCCCGTCACTCTTCCAGAAGGTTCCCTCAGCCGCAGACGTTCACACTGTTTCCAGTGGCCACAGTCAAAAGCCATGGTGTGTATGCGTGTGTGTGTGTGTGTGTATGTGTGTGTGCATGTGTGTGTGTGTGTGCGCACATCCATGTGTGGAACCTCCTCATTGGAGGAGAAACTGGTCTTCTTTAAGCCTCTCTTCCACTTTATTCTCTCTCTCTCTCTCTCTTTCTCTCTCTCTCTCTCTCTCTCTCGTCCACACACACAAGTTAAAGATTAAAGTCATGGTTAACAGATACTGGCCTACAGTATATACAGTACATGAGTATAAATAAATATATATATATTATACAGTATATCTTTTTTATAACGTTTCTAACGGGGCTAGGTCTGTAAAAGTCAACACCTACGACGACGATATTCCATGCCTTTCTGTTTCGGTTGTCAAGATTTCCTCGCGCTCCCATTTTATTGCTGCGAAAAAACGAAAAAAAAAAAAACGAAAAAACTACAGCGTGAAGAGTTAGCCGGGTCGTTGACGTCGATCTCACTCGACCGACTGAGCCCGTGGCTGCATCCACGCCGCCGACGTTTGATTTTAGAGAAAACGAGGCTTTGGAGCCAATTGTTGTTCAAAATCCTGTTTAGTTGAAAATATCACAGTTTCCTCTACATCTTAATGGGTTTGTGTAAAATCTGCCTTGCTATAGGTCTAAAAATATTAGCATTGTGTCGACGGAATCTAGTTTTTTTAATAGCGATAAAATCCAAAAATGCAGCGGGGTATGACTCGATACCACGTCCGATACCGATACTTCAACTAGGTATCGATACCAATATCAATCCATTACTTTCCCCACTCCACCAGCGTTAAGTTAAGTTGAGCGTTTGGGCTAAGGTATCGGATCGGACGAGCGATAGCTGTTTTGTTCGCTGTTCGATCCTGAAATTTTGCCCAATATCGGACCGATACTGAGTATCCCGAGTATCGGATCGAGCCATCCCTGTTATTGCACACAGTGAAATTTGCCCTCTATATTAAATCCACCCTTTACCCCAGCAGGGGGCAGTAGTCCCACCCAGGCCTGGGATTCAAACCAACAATCCTGGTCCAGTGTTTATGGATCTTTCAGTTTTTCCAGTCGTAAAAAAAAAGTTTGAAAAGGAGGAAAATTGGAAAAAACTTTAGCTTTGGCGCCAGCGGGAAAACGTCTCAGCTGTGCTGTGATTGGTCCGTCTGTTTAACCAGAGCCAACCTCCTGTCTCTGGAGATGCACCAGATGTCACTCTTCATCTCAGTAAAGAGGTTTTTTTTTTTTAGAGATGTGGAGCGTGTCCCATCAGGAGGACGTGGTCCAGTTCCAGTGAATCTTTGGCGCGTGTCGTCGCAGCGGTTTCTAAATACGAGGTCTGGGAAGAACAGCGTGTTTTTTCGGGCTTCGAGATGAGACGGCGTTGATATTCAGACATTTTTAGCCTCGGGAAATGAATAAATATTTTTGATCCCGACTCCGACCTCAGCCGCGGCGTTTCTGTTTCATCGGGCTCCAAAAATCCGGCGTGTGTGTTTCTAAACAAAGGCGTCAGTGGATTGGATGCAGCCACATGTTCAAATCCAGGTGTGTTTATATGTACGAGTGAGAGAGTGTGTGTGTGTGTGTGTGTGTGGTGAGAGAGTGAGACACGCACAAGACGTAGTGCAATACTGCTATGATGTTATGCAACGAAGATGGATTATATACAGTACAAATATATGATGAAGAGAGTATTTATAAAGTTTGCACTGATGCCGTTCCTGCCCCTGGAGGTTGAAGAGACAAACTGCAGGACTTCAAGGTCTTAACGAGCATGTGTTTGTTTGTAATTATTTATCATTTGTCCTGAATTTTAGGAGTGAAGGTGGAAGTGTTGATGGACGTGACCACATTCATATTTACTATCCTTTTTTTTTCTTCTTCTTCTTTTTTTTTCCCGCTCACTCGCTTCTTTCTCTCAGCTGAGGCCGCGAATGTTTTGATTTGTGATTTGTTATTTATTTAAAATCTGGTATTGGTTCCATTTCAAGTCTGAATATTTTTGTATTTTTTCTTTTTCTTTTTTTTTTTAATTTTCTTCACTGAGACGAGGTTGGAGTTTTGGCCAGAAATGTTGTAAATATAGTGAAAAAAGTTGGTTGGAGTTGCGAGTTCAGAACCCATACGAGCTGCGTCCCAGTCGGCTGGTACATGTGGGCCACACCTGGTCCTAGTAGGGCTACATGGTTGCAAAGTGGGTTTGAATCAGACCGGTCTTGTTGTGGGGGTGAGTACAGGGCGAGCATCGATCCTTTGCCAACGGTTAGCAAGTTAGCATCGCACAATCCGGGTTTGGACGGAGTACAGGGCGAGCATTGATCCTTTGCCAACGGACGTTAGCATCGCACAATCTGCTAATTTAAAGCTGTGTGACGTAAAACTAAAACTGGAACAGGAAGTGACGTGAGTTTGAAAGAAGAAGAAGACGTCATTCAAACATATAGAACTGTTTTAAAGTCATCCAAGAACAACTGCAAAAAAGTGAAGGAGGAGTCGATAGAAAAATGAAATTAGCTGCTACGTTAGGCTACGTTCACGCTACAGGCTAACGTGGCCTAAATCGTCTGTTTTGCACAGGCGATCCATATCAATTCAAAAGCTCAAATATATATTTTTTTTTTTTTACTCAGACCTGGACCACTTTCAGATGTGGTCCAGGATCAGAACCGCTCCAGGGTCCAGATTGGTCAATTCCCACAGTTTTATCAGACACAATCCTGTGCTGGTGATGGTGGATAAAGTTGGGGGGCGGGGGCCGCGGGGATAAAATAACTATTGCTAACTATTAAATTCCCTCCTCGTTCCGACCACATGTAGTCACTGGTTGGGTCTTCAGCTCCACTTTGCTTCCACGTGGTCCGACATTAAACGCTGACAGAAGAACATCTGCAGTCTTTACATGGGAAACACACACACACAGACACACACAGACACACAGACACACACACGTCCATTCACATCAGCGGACCAGGAGGACGACAGAACCAGGAATGATGTTTTGACTTTCTTTCTTTAAGGGGTTCAGTGTGTTTCTTAATCTCTCTCAGCCATCTCTCCATCCCATCGTGTGATATTCCTTATAAAGATATATTAATTTTTACAGAAATAACTGATTAAATGATCTTACGACACAGTCAACTGATGCAGAAAAATATATTTAAACAATGACAGTATCAAGCAAAATAAGATGTTCCAGTTCAGTGAAGCGCTTGTTGTAAATTAGCTATAAAATAATAAAATGAATTTAAAAATGCTTTCTGAAGAATGGACTCCAGAGTCGATTTGGTTTTTGGTTTGGTTTTTGTCCCAGTGCTCACCATGCAGCAGCACAGATGAAAATGACCAGGAGGGGGCACTATTCTCTTCCATCTTCACACACTGACTCTCTGCTGCATTCGAGTGTATGTGTGTGTGTTAGTGTTTCTGGTATAGCTGCACTCCAGGGGACACTGTTCAGACAGTAGTGTTGTTGTTGTTCACAGTGAGACAGTTTAGTAGAATTAGCCTCAGATTAGAGATTAAGATTAGGCATATATTTGGAATTTGAATATTAGTGAAAGAGGCTGGAGAGAAAAAACACCACAGTATGTCTTCATAAAACACAAAAACCAGAATGTGTGTATGTGTTTGTGTGTACATGTTTTTGATCACTACTGAGGACCTTCTAGTATTGTTACTGTAGCAGGAACCAGATCGGAGGACGGCTGTTTTTGACGCCGTCAGTGTTGTCGGTCAGTGTCGTCGGTCACTCCACAGGCCACTGCCTCCTGGTGTAATATGAGCAAAAACCTGGAACCTTCAATCTTCTGATCTTCTGATCCTCTGCTCTGACGTTTATCCATTCTGCCACTAGAGGCTCCACAAGTGCAGTCATTTTTGAAATTAAACTGTTTCAGATGGATTTCAGCAGCGGCCCCTCAC